GAACAAACAAAGAGAGATGAACAGTACAATAACTGAAATGAAAAATACACTAGAAGGAATCAATAGCAGAATAACTGAGGCAGAAGAACAGATAAGTGACCTGGAACAGAATGGTGGAATTCACTGCCACGGAACAGAATAAAGAAAAAAGAATGAAAAGAAATGAAGAAAGCCTAAGAGACCTCTGGGACAACATTAAACGCAACAACATTCACATTATAGGGGTCCCAGAAGGAGAAGAGAGAGAGAAAGGACCCAAGAAAATATTTGAAGAGATTATAGTTGAAAACTTCCCTAACATGGGAAAGGAAATAGCCACCCAAGTCCAGGAAGCACAGAGAGTCCCAGGCAGGATAAGCCCAAGGAGAAACATGCTGAGACACATAGTAATCAAACTGATAAAAATTAAAGACAAAGAAAAATTATTGAAAGCAACAAGGGAAAAACAACAAATAACATACAAGGGAACTCCCATAAGGTTAACAGCTGATTTCTCAGGAGAAACTCTACAAGCCAGAAGGGAGTGGCACGATATATTTAAAGTGATGAAAGGAAAGAACTACAACCAAGATTACTCTACCCAGCAAGGATATCATTCAGATTTGACAGAGAAATCAAAAGCTTTACAGACAAGCAAAAGCTAAGAGAATTCAGCACCACCAAAACAGCTCTACAACAAATGATAAAGGAACTTCTCTAAGTGGGAAACACAAGAGAAGAAAAGGACCTACAAAAACAAACCCATAACAATTGAGAAAATGGTAATAGGAACATACATATTGATAATTACCTTAAACATGAATGGATTAAATGCTCCCACCAAAAGACACAGTCTCGCTGAATGGATACAAAAACAAGACCCATATATATATGCTGCCTACAAGAGACCCACTTCAGACCTAGGGACACATACAGACTGAAAGTGAGGGGATGGAAAAAGATATTCCATTCAAATGGAAATCAAAAGAAAGCTGGAGTAGCAATTCTCATATCAGACAAAATAGACTTTAAAATAAAGAATGTTACAAGAGACAAGGAAGGATACTACATAATGATCAAGGGATCAATCCAAAAAGAAGATATAACAGAGTTATAAATATATATACACCCAATATAGGAGCACCTCAACACATAAGGCAACCACTAACAGCTATAAAAGAGGAAATCGACAGTAACACAATAATAGTGGGGGGCTTTAACACCTCACTTACACCAATTGACAGATCATCCAGGCAGAAAATTAATAAGGAAACACAAGCTTTAAATGACACAATAGAACAGATAGATTTAATTGATATTTATAGGACATTCCATCCAAAAACAGCAGATTACACTTCCTTCTCAAGTGCACACAGAACATTCTCCAGGATAGATCACATCCTGGGTCACAAATCAAGCCTCAGTAAATATAAGAAAACTGAAATCATATCAAGCATCTTTTCCGACCAAAATGCTATGAGATTAGAAGTCAACTACAGGGAAAAAAATGTAAAAAACACAAACACATGGAGGCTAAACAATAAGTTACTAAAGAACAAAGAGATCACTGAAGAAATCAAAGAGGAAATAAAAAAATACCTAGAGACAAATGACAATGAAAACACGACGATCAAAAACCTATGGGATGCAGCAAAAGCAGTTCGAAGAGGGAAGTTTATAGCAATACAAGCTTACCTCAAGAAACAAGAAAAATCTCAAATAAACAATCTAACCTTACACTTAAAGGAACTAGAGAAAGAAGAACAAACAAAACCCAAAGTTAGTAGAAGGAAAGAAATCATAAAGATCAGAGCAGAAACAAATGAAATAGAAACAAAGAAAAGATAGCAAAGATCAATAAAACTAAAAGCTGCTTCTTTGAGAAGATAAACAAAAGTGATAAACCTTTATTTAGCCAGACTCATCAAGAAAAAGAGGGAGAGGACTCAAATCAATGAAATTAGAAATGAAAAATGAGACGTTACAACAGACACCGCAGAAATACAAAGCAACATAAGAGACTACTACAAGCAACTCTATGTCAATAAAATGGACAACGTGGGGCTTCCCCAAAAGGGGCTTCCCCAAAAGGGGCTTTCCCTTTACCGCAAAAAAAAAAAAAAGGACAACGTGGAAGAAATGGACAAATTCTTAGAAAGGTATAACCTTCCCAGATGGAATCAGGAAGAAATAGAAAATATGAACACACCAATCACAAGTAGTGAAATTGAAACTGTGATTAAAAATCTTCCAAAAAACAGAAGTCCGGGACCAGATGGCTTCACAGGTGAATTCTATCAAAGATTTTGAGAAGAGCTAACACCAATCTTTCTCAAACTCTTCCAAAAAACTGCAGAGGAAGGAACACTCCCAAACTTATTCTATGAGGCCACCATCACACTGATACCAAAACCAGACAAAGATGCTACAAAAAAAGAAAATTACAGACCAATATCACTGATGAATATAGATGCAAACATCCTCAACAAAATACTATCAAACAGAATCCAACAACACATTAAAAGGATCATACACCATGATCAAGTGGGATTTACCCCAGGGATGCAAGGATTCTTCAATATATGCAAATCAATCAATGTGATCCACCATATTAACAAATTGAAGAATAAAAACCATATGATCTTCTCAATAGATGCAGAAAAAGATTTTGACAAAATTCAACACCCATTTATGATAAAAACTCTCCAGAATGTGGGCACAGAGGGAACCTACTTCAACATAATAAAGGCCATATATGACAAACCCATATACAGCAAACATCATTCTCAATGGTGAAAAACTGAAAGCATTTCCTCTAAGATCAGGAACAAGACAAGCATATCCACTCTCACCACTATTATTCAACATAGTTTTGGAAGTCCTAGCCATGGCAATCAGAGAAGAAAAAGATATAAAAGGAATATAAATTGGAAAAGAAGAAGTAAAACTGTCACTGTTTACAGATGACATGATACTATACATAGAGAATCCTAAAGATGCCACCAGAAAACTACTAGAGCTAATCAATGAATTTGGTAAAGTTGCAGGATAGAAAATTAATGCACAGAAATCTCTTACATTCCTATACACTAATGATGAAAAATCTGAAAGAGAAATTAAGGAAACACTCCTATTTACCACTGCAACAAAAAGAATAAAATACCTAGGAATAAACCTATCTAGGGAAACAAAAGACCTGTATGCAGAAAACTATAAGACACTGATGAAAGAAACTAAAGATGATACAAACAGATGGAGAGATATACCATGTTCTTGAATTGGAAGAATCAATATTGTGAAAATGACTATACTACCCAAAGCAATCTACAGATTCAGTGCAATCCCTGTCAAATTACCAATGGCATTTTTTACAGAACTAGAACAAAAAATCTTTAAATTTGTATGGAGACACAAAAGACCCCAAATAGCCAAAGCAGTCTTAAGGGAAAAAAACAGAGCTGGAGGAATCAGACTCCCTAACTTCAGACTATACTACAAAGCTAGTATCAGGACAATATGGTACTGGCACAAAAACAGAAATATAGATCAATGGAACAGGATAGAAAGCCTAGAGATAAACCCACACATCTATGGTCAACTAATCTATGACAAAGGAGGCAAGGATATACAGTGGAGAAAAGACAGTCTCTTCAATAAGTGGTGCTGGGAAAACTGGACAGCTACATGTAAAAGAATGAAATTAGAACACTCCCTAACACCATACATAAAAATAAACTCAAAATGGATTAGAGACCTAAATGTAAGACTGGACACTATAAAACTCTTAGAGGAAAACATAGGAAGAACACTCTTTGACATAAATTACAGCAAGATTTTTTTGACCCACCTCCTAGGGTAATGGAAATAGAAACAAAAATAAGCAAATGGGACCTAATGAAACTTCTTTTGCACAACAAAGGAAACTATAAACAAGATGAAAAGACAACCCTCAGAATGGGAGAAAATATTTGCAAATGAATCAACGGACAAAGGATTAATCTCCAAAATATATAAACAGCTCGTGCAGCTCAATATTAAAAAAACAAACAACCCAATCAAAAAATGGGCAGAAGACATAAATGTCTTCCAAAGAAGTCATACAGATGGCCAAGAAGCACATGAAAAGCTGCTCGACATCACTAATTATTAGAGAAATGCAAATCAAAACTACAATGAGGTATCACCTCACACCAGTTAGAATGGGCATCATCAGAAAATCTACAAACAACAAATGCTGGAGAGGGTGTGCAGAAAAGGGAACCGTCTTGCACTGTTAGTGGGAATGTAAATTGATACAGCCACTATGGAGAACAGTATGGAGGTTCCTTAAAAACCTAAAACTAGAATTACCATACGACCCAGCAACCCCACAACTGGGCATATACCCAGAGAAGACCATAATTCAAAAAGACACATGCACCCCAATGTTCATTGCAGCACTATTTACAATAGCCAGGTCATGGAAGCAACCTAAATGCCCATCAACAGACGAATGGATAAAGAAGAGTGGTACATATATACAATGGAATATTACTCAACCATAAAAAGGAACGAAATTGAGTCATTTGTAGAGACATGGTTGGATCTAGAGACTGACATACAAAGTGAAGTAAGTCAGAAAGAGAAAAACAAATATCGTATAGTAACACATATATGTGGAACCTAGAAAAATGGTACAGATGAACCAGTTTGCAGGGCAGAAATAGACACAGATGTAGAGAACAAACGTATGGACACCAAGGGGGGAAACTGGCGGGGGTGGTGGTGGTGGTGGTGGTGGGATGAATTGGGAGAGTGGGATTGACATATATACACTAATGTATAAAATAGATAACTAATAAGAACCTGCTGTATAAAAAAATAAATTTCAAAGAAAAAAAGACATAAATTATAATGATGAAGTTAGGTAGAAGTTATATGGTTTTAACAAAACTTTGATTTCTTCTTTTATACTGTTCCCATGGTAAAAACAGCAAAATTCCTACCTAGATGGTAACACATACCATTCGTTCAATTTTAAGATCCTCGATTGCTCTTGGGAACAAGTATACTGCTGTGGCATGAAGTGGAAGGTATAATTTGGAGCCAGATGAGAGAAAGAAGACTCCTTTCAGAGGTAATATATTCATGTAAACGTAAAAGTTATCAAAAAAGACTTAATAATCTTACCAAGTAATCTAAAGCTAAATTTCATAGACAAGTTCCTTATAGAACTACCACAAACTTTGTAGAACTCAAGCCTTCCATGGTAAAAGGTTTTAAAACTTCTTTTAAAACAAATGCAATGGGTTTAATCTGTTTTGGTTTTATTTTATTTATTTTTAATGCTTTTTTTTAAACATCTTTATTGGAGTATAATTGCTTTACAATGTTGTGTTAGTTTCTGCTTTATAACAAAGTAAATCAGCTATACATATACATACATCCGCATATCTCTTACCTCTTGTGTCTCCCTCCCTCCCACTCTCCCTATCCCACCCCTCTAGATGGTCACAAAGCACCAAGCTGATCTCCCTGTGCTATGCAGCTGCTTCCCACTAGCTATCAGTTTTACATTTGGTAGTGTATATATGTACATGCCACTCTCTCACTTTGTCCCAGCTTACCCTTCCCCCTCCCCATGTCCTCAAAAAAACAAACAAACAAACAAATGCAATGGGGATAGCAAGTCACAAAGTGTAGTGCAATGTTACTTATTATTGTTTGCTTTATCACCCACGGTAACTTGTTTTGCATCTAGCAAGGACCCAGAAAAATGTAAGGATGAATACTTATCATAATTCATTCCCATGTGGACTTTTAGAATCCAGGAAGACAGCTTTCCTTTCTGTTTCAATAGTTAGGCTCTGAAAGGAATCTGGAAAGTGCTGCTCACAGGAGTGGCTCTCAGCCGAAACTGGGCTCATCTCCAGCTCTGCTTAAGAGAGTTCATTGCTGTCTACATGTGATATTGAAGGGAATGAGGAAAACAAACTTCCTTAATTAGTGTATGGTACCAATGACCTTACTTCACTATGGAAGAAATAAATTGCATTTCTTCCTCAGCATATTCTCAGTGAATATCTGAGATACAGGGAGATATGGTTACTTAGTCAGAAACATTTATTTATTTAAGAGAAATAAGCAATTCAAAGGAAAACTTTCAACTTAACAGAGAGAGAAAAAAACTTTATAAAAAGGGTCATGCCGGTAAACTTAAAGAAAGCAAAGGGAGTGAGGGAGAAACAACGAGGTATAATAAGTAGTAAAAATAAAAAGAAATGGATAAAAATAAATATATCAATTACCACTAAAAATTTGAATGAGTTGCATTTCCCTTTCAAAAGACAAACTTTCAGATTGGGCTCAAAAAAACCCAAAATTAAACTATGTATAAGAAATTCACTTCAAATAAAGGGACAAAGGAGGTTTGAAAATAAATGGTTGGGCAAATCCAAAAGCATGAATGGCAATATTAATAACAAATTCAAGGCCAAAAGCATTAAGTAGGAACAAGAGGATGGAATGATCAAAGGCACTATGGCAGAGATTGCTAGATGCCTATGTCCATTCCTTGTCACCCTTGCTAACAAAACCTCATTTTAATTTGTTACAGCAATCTGTCTTGATACAAATTATTTTTCCCATCCTCTTTTACAACTGAGCGTGGGCAATAAGTTGTAAGCAGAGGTTAATGGGTGGGGCCTGTTGAAGTCTAACTCAGCTGGAAGCTATTCCTTTCTGCCTTCTTCTTTTTCCTCCTTCTTGACTGGAATATGTACGTGATGGCTGGAGCTTCAGGAACCATCTTGCAACGATGACTTGGAGACGAGCACCACTTACTAAAGGTGGCAGAGCAGAAAGACACACAGAGCTTGCATTCCAGATGACCACGAAGCCCTGCTACTAGCCCTGGACTTCTTTTTACCATCAGGTATCTTCCATGTTTGAGAAAAACACATTTCTATTTATTTAAGCCACTATTATTTGGGTATCATTTTATATGCAGCCAGCTCAATTTCCTGCAGTACAGATATAAACATAAAAAAATATAATAGTTTCGGCTATGAAGAACTAAAAAAAGTACAAAATTAAAAAAAAATCAAAACTGCTAGAAAGACAAGCATTATTTGATGAGATGACAACCATAGAAGTAGATACCTCTTTCAAAATTTGATGTAATATGAAGTCAAAAACAAGTGAGAATGTAGAAGACTATAACCTATAAGTTTATCATACATGCATGTATAGATGAGTATATGTGTGTGGTTGGTATACAGCAAAAAACTATAAATTTTTACCTTACAAAAAGAGAATATGCAATCTTTTCATATGTGTATGGAACGCTTACAAAATCAATCATGTATTTGGCCATAAAAGGTGAAAGCATATTGTGGTTTGGGTGCAGAAGATGTTAGAACCAGACAGTCTGTCCTACAGCTTGCCGGCAGAGTGACCTTGGGCAAGATACTTAACCTTGCTGGGCTTTCTGTCTTTATCTATAGAGTAAGACTCTTAATAGCTAGAAATGTCATCTTCTATAATTATTATTATCCCTCCTGGCCTAGCATTTTCCAGGTTGATGTCCATTTACCTACATAAAGCTGCTAGTGTTGTTTATAACCAACTTTTGGTAGGGGTGCCAGGCCATCAGATGGCTGTCATTGGTCACAGTTTCCACTGGGAGGGTCAGGGCAGGATAGAAGGTTAACATTTCTCCATTTGGCCTCAACTGAACAGTGAACACAATGCTGTCTAGCACAGAATTCAAGAGCACCAAAAGAATGTTAAATGGATGAATTGTTACTTGCAGGAAAAGAAACAGGCACCATGTTTCCAATTATTCTTCATTTCAGACAACAACTAGCTGTTTCCATTGGCTGGCACAGTAGCTGAATGGGGAACACTATTGAGTAAACTCTACTGAAAAAGGATGAATGTGGTCCAGTGAATTTTTTTGACACAGTCCCAGCTTTATTTTTGCCTACTACTGGCAAGCTAATATGGAGGACATTAGGAAACAATCGACAAAAACTTCGTAAATAAAGCTTAAAAGACAAGAATTTTATCTATGGCCCCCAATACATAAACTTTTTGTACCAACAAGGATCATTTGTGACATAAGGCAGAATCTCTAAATTTAGCTACTAGATACAAAAAGAAAAAACACATATCAATCTTTTTTTTTTAAACCCACCAAATAAAACATTTTTTAATCACAAAAGCAAAATATTGAAGTATTTATAATATTTTAATATTGATCAAGAAAATATAGTATTTTCATGAGCAAGTACAGTAATATATGAAAATAAGAACACTATTATAAATACAACAGAGAAAATACTATTAATTGTATATTATAATAATTGTTTCATAGAAGTAAATATAAACATATAGGCTATGTTATAAATGATAAGTGTTGAATATGTTTATATATTTTTAATAAAATTAAATTTAATGAAAAATATTATACAAATAAGAAACTTCAAAGTTTCATCCCTGAACTTAGAGGGAAAGCAAAAATGAACTGAAGATAGTAAGTTTATTTTAGGTCTCAAACCACTGATAAACTGATGTCAACTGGGAATGAATGGGGCATTTGTTCCTTTGCTTTTGGGGACCTGTAATACCATCATCAGAGTGGTGTTTATGTTTTTGCATATTTTCCATGTTTCCTCTCAAATATGTTGATGTATAAATAGATAAACTGAGGGTGGTTAATTTTTTGGTCCGAAGTATTTCCTAACTCTCTGGCTGGTGCTAATTTCTCTCAGCATTATCTTAGTGTATCAGTTCTTTACCAATCCCCACTCCTTCCTCTCTTTAACAAAGGTTTTGTGTGATTACAAAATCAGCTCCCATTTTTCTGCTTAGAATGACCTTCTCGCCAACTCTCGCACTCGTAAATATCCTTTCTCCGCCTCTGCTTAAGCTTTTGTCATTCACAGAAGCTCCATCTTCTTTCCATGTGCAAGAGAACATCAAACTCAGGAAGCAATTCCTTCCACCTATGGGGTTTCAGACTTACTCAGATACAATTCAAACAGTGCATTGCTTCCCAGATGAAGATACATATAGGGTGCCCATCTATCAGGGAGGAAGACAGATTGGGGAGGATAGACAGAGAGAAATCGAAACAGAGAGGAGAGAGGCAGAGAACAGACTTCCTCTGTCTGAATTGTACTAGAGGCTGAGATTCTGTACTCCTTCTGTAACCCTGTTGATTAGCACAATTCTATCAGGACTACATGAATTTTTAAAAATTCAACTTGGCAGATAGTAGTACATATTTACCGGATTAAATTGATAAAATCAATGTTAAGAACTACATCAAAATGATGGGAAGATTTTTTTTCTAGTCTCGAAGATATTTTGTAAGGATTTTTATTTAATTCCAAAAATTGTCTTCCTAAAATTTGTATGAGTCTATCTAATCATGAAAGGCACGGGATCATCTTGCATTTCTGCCTGCTCCCAACACACAGAGGTCAGATACCTTGTGCTGCCCTCATCCTCATGATGGGAAGAGATGCCACAAAATAATTTTAAAGGATAAAGAAGGATTAAGAAAAAACAGAGAAGAGGTTCTGACGAAAATGCAGCCAACATATGAAATCAGGAATCTTTCTTTCCACGGAATTTATAAAGCTTCTTTGGACCATTCTTGTCCCCTGGTACTTGTTTTCCCTTCACCAGACAGGGAAACTCAAATTTGCCTATTAAGAATGCCATCTGCGGGCTTCCCTGGTGGCACAGTGGTTAAGAATCTGCCTGCCAATGCAAGGGACACGGGTTCGAGCCCTGGCCCAGGAAGATCCCACATGCCACAGAGCAACTAAGCCCGTGCGCCACAACTACTAAGCCTGAGCTCTAGAGCCTGCAAGCCACAACTACTGAGCCTACGTGCCACAACTACTGAAGCCTGCACGCCTAGAGCCTGTGCTCCGCAACAAGAGAAGGCAGGACAGTGAGAAGCCCGCGCACCGCAACGAAGAGTAGCCCCCACTAACCGCAACTAGAGAAAGCCCGCGCACAGCAACGAAGACCCAACACAGCCAAAAATTAATAAATAAATAAAGTTATTAAAAAAAAAAAGAATGCCATCTGCCTCTCTAAAAAAGGACAGACTGAGTGGG